TTACTCTAGGCCTCCTCAGAGCGTGTGTTACGCTCATGCGTACCATGAAGCTTAAGAGAAGGATCCAGCATGTAGTTACTCCCAAATCTAACGTTGGACCTCTCAAAGATAGATGGCCTCATACGTCTTTGAGGAATGCTCTTCTAATGTTCTGATTGTGCTAGTAAGACACAGGAGAGTTCAGAGGGGCATCGCTACTGCTCTTCTCATAAGGCTGCAGACACCCTACCTAAATATGCAGAGTATCTGAGCTGCTTCTCTGAATTCTGGCAGGACCACCTGCAAATGAAGAGATCTCCACAGACAGGCTGGTGGACGAGCCCTAGCAAGTCAGTTATAAGTTCAAACTGAAAGACTATGAAAACTTGATTTTTTTTTTTTTTTGAGACGGAGTTTCGCTCTTGTTACCCAGGCTGGAGTGCAATGGCGCGATCTCGGCTCACCGCAACCTCCGCCTCCTGGGTTCAGGCAATTCTCCTGCCTCAGCCTCCTGAGTAGCTGGGACTACAGGCATGCACCACCATGCCCAGCTGATTTTTTTTTGTATTTTTAGTAGAGACGGGGTTTCACCATGTTGACCAGGATGGTCTCGATCTCTTGACCTTGTGATCCACCCGCCTCGGCCTCCCAAAGTGCTGGGATACAGGCTTGAGCCACCGCGCCCGGCCCGAAAACTTGATTTTTAAATAACTAAATTCAATAATGATAATCACCTGTATTCTTATTTCCTAGGTCAAAGACAGAGGGGGAAATGGGGAAAGGACAAAAGAGGGGGCCACTGCTTCTATTCATGGTCAATAAATGTATCATGAGATACAGACCTGAACTAAGAATTATTCCTTTTTTTTTTTTTTTAAGACAGAGTCTTGCTGCAACGCCCAGGCTAGAGTGTAAAGGTGCAATCTCAGCTTACTACAACCTCTGCTTCCTGGCTTCAGGCAATTCTCCCACCTCAGCCTCCTGAGCAGCTGGGATTACAGGCACATGCCAACATACCTGGCTAATTCTTGTATTTTTAATGGAGTCAGGTGTTTCACCGTGTTGGCCAGGATGGTCTCGATCTCCTGACCTCGTGATTTGCCCTCATCGGCCTCCCAAAGTGCTGGGATTATAGGTGTGAGCCACCATGCTCAGCCAGAATTAATCTTTAGTAGTAGAAAAAAACTTCATACGCTCTCTTATATTTAGTTTTTAGCATCTAATTGCATATTCCCACTTTTGTTGCTTTTTGTAAAATGCTTACAAGTTAACTTACCTTTTCTGCGCCTTCTGAATAAATACTTTAATAAGTAGACAGGAGAATACTGGGTCCTTTACATATTACCTGACTTCTTAAGTAGCTGTAGTCCAAGTTATTTTATGCATGTTACACTTAACTGCCTAGCTTGTGAATATATATTCATGTAAGAGAAAATTAATTTTATTTAAAAAAGGACAGGATCCTTGACCGTTGTGCCAACCTTTTAAATGACTCTGTGGCATCACTAACATCTCCCTTTTTCTAACAATGACCTCTTCATAGCCACATAGTTTTCAAAGTCCTGTTCCTCTCTTCCCCCTACATCCAAAAATTCAAAATTCAGATCAGACAATTGTCATTCTTCCATATTCAAAGGCATCTCAGAAGGCAGGAGTAGCTGTGTACACATAAAGGATGAAGGCTTGAGCCCACAGAGAGTTAAATTAATACCCTGGCTTGACTAGTTCAACTTACCGTACATCTTCATTTGCCCAGAAACACAATCTATAGCCAACTGCTAACCAAGTCAATATGTGGTAAGACTAACAGCCACCCTAACCTGCCTTGATAATTATTCTCCTTTAACTGACATAATATTCAATATACTGTTGTTGAGAGCAATAATGCTAAAATTGATGCCTTGAGGGCTACAAGACAATTGAGTTTTAGCCAGATAAAATGACTTGTACACTAATAGTGCATTATGGGGTTCCACAGCTTTCGGACACACATTTTATAGCCTACTTTTACAAAAATGCCAGATACAATTATATTCAAAGTAACTTGTGCACACCGTATCATTACCACATACAATCTTTAAAATACTGCCTGATTACCAAATAATATTACTTTAGAAGAAAAGGGTTTACTTTTACAGTCTCTGTCTTTTTCCTTAACAAAACAAGCATTTTCTCACTATATAAGTGATAACAGTTTTGGTGTTCTGAAACCTTTTGCTTTTTTTTTTTTTCCAAACCAAGAACTGTTTTCACAAAGAACAAGATTATAAACGCTGAATGACAAAAACCATCATTTAAATAAAATCCATATTACATCAATTCTACCAATAAAACAAGACAGAAACTAAACCTGGAATTACTCTAAAGTAAAAATCATCTACAGTTTTCTCAAAATGTCAATTTTAGACTCTGAATGGAGAAACATTATATTAAATTTGAGACTGTCAAAATCTGTATTAAAATAATAAAAATTAATTATAATTTAAGTGTCACAATAAATGACAATGTTCTCTATATGCAATATTTCACCCTAAAATAAGAGACTTTATAAATTTTAGTTCCTGGTTTTACTGAATTTTCCTCTCAAACTAATTTCTCTTGCAATTTTGTATCTTTAAATCAAACCTGTCCAACCCACAGCCCACGGGCTGCGTGTGGCACGGGATGGCTCTGAATGTGATCCAACACAAATTTGTAAACTTCCTTAAAACAGTATGAGTTTTTATTTATTTATTTATTTATTTATTGGCTATATTTATTTTTTAGCTCATCAGCTATTGTTTGTGTTACTATGTTTTATGTGTGGCCCAAAACAATTCTTCTTCCAATGTGGCCCACCAAGCTAAAAGATTGGATACCTCTGCTAAATACTGGGCCCTCGTACAAAAAGAAATGCAGAGTACATTTACATTTTTTCTACTTGTATTAGAGATATGTTCAAATATTGGGGAAAAATTAACATCTAAGTAATTATTTCAAGTAAAATAAAAAACAATAGGACCGTATCACAGAAACATTATCAGGCTTTATACTTACTGGTATCAAAGGGCTACATAAGCTGAATTGTTAAAATTGCAAATCAGCATAGTCCTGCACATGCCTATTTGTCTGGACAGAAAGATGCAATGTATATGCTTGTGTCTCTGCACAGGTATGCAGGTATAAATATCTCAGGCAACAAATACACGTGAAACTGAAAGATAATATTAATGACAGAAGTATAAGCAGCATAGTGGAGATAATAAAGATGGTACAAGATTGGGCCAAAATACTTGCTGGTTTGTAATAAAAGATTGTTAGCCAAGCTAACAGTTCCATACAAACAACTGTAAGAGGTTTTTCTCTTTGTGTAGGGCAAATTCCATCTAAAACAGACATTAATAATCACGTTGTGGAAATGACTATAGAAGGATGTAGCACTGTATGCATCTTGGGGCCAGTATAAGCAGGAATTGTTGAAACCAGTCTCTTTATTTATTTTTCCTGGCCCCTTCCTCTTAGACCTTGTTCCCTCTCATGTCCCCTAACCATCCAGGACTTATCTTCCTACTTTATCCCACTGAAATATCCCCATCCTGAGGCAAATGAGGTAATGCTTGTGAACACGCTCTCTAAACTAAAAAAGTAATATACAATTGTTACTATTATCACCATCATCTCATCTTTTGAGGGCCAAATTTTCTGTGTCTTTCAAGTTGAGATTCTCACTAAATTTAGACGTCCTTCTAGTCTGAGAGCAGACAGGTTATTCCACTTCCCTTATCTTTCTCTACTTCTACTCACCATCCTTCCACTGCTCTCCTGTTCCAGCTAACAGCTGGAGGTAACACACAGGAAAATGACAAGAATTCACGTGTACTGATGGCAGGTTAAAAAGAGGGGGAGACTGAAGCTCCCTACTCTTCACATGTCAAGCTGGCAGCCAATGCCCTTCAGGTAATACACAGTGCCTCAGGGAATAAACAGTGGTGATATCTCCAGCACTATGCAAGGCTGGCACAGCCAAAATCAGTTGTTTTTGAAGGGGTCACATCTCCTGGTATTATCTTCATAGGAAATTTCAAAAATTGCTTCAGATTCTACCTTTTCAAATTGAGATCTCCTTCAGCAGGAGCGAGTATTTCTTCATTCTCCAGTGTAGCCTCTTTGGATCCTGCGGTTTCCCAAAATGCTGTTCTCAACATTGACCCCTCAACAATTGTATGAAGACAGATAGCCATAAACATGTTTCAGAGGCAAAGCATACAATGCAAATGACACACGACATACTGCTAAAATGAGATGAAGAAAGGGAGAGATGGGAGATGGGGGTGCATTGAAAGCTGTGGGCCTTCCAGGAAACTCTTAAAGCCCTTACCAGGTCGGAAGTGCCATTGATACAAAGGAGATGTTCAAGGCTGGAAGAACAGGTTCTGCAAAGGCCAAATCTAAAACCAAGTCTGTGTGTTTCAGAATGCAGAAATCTGAAGGCTACAATGTGACAGTTTACTGGTTATATAAGTTTATATGAATTACAGTTCTACCTTTGATTTGGATGAAGAAACAATAAATAGTAACATGTGTACCTGTAGGTACACAAACAACAGAGAAAAACACCATACCTGCAAACTGAGTATGGAAAAAAGCCCTAAAAAACCGAAATGAAGGGTAATTTCAGACTTTCACACACCCATCACCCACGTCAAAGAGCCAACCTTTTTAACAGGGCTATAATAAGACTTGCTGGAGAAGTCAGGAAGCCCATGTTGTAGACAGCTGAATTCAAAAAAAGGTGCACACAAAGGTAACTTGAGGCAAGAGGCCACATTTTCCTTCTAATACACCCTGAGGCCCAATGGTGGCCTGCTTCCTCTCTCTCCTTTCCCCTTCCCTGACAAGCCCGCTGAAATGACCACTTTACCCAGAGGAGGGTGTGCAGCCCTTCCTGCAAGGGGCAGGAAGGAAACCAGGTCTGCCAAGGGCTCTAACCCTTTCCCACCCAGAGCGGGTCCCAGGCACCGGTGTTCACGTCCTCCCCCTACCTGAAGGATGTATCCTCGGACATAGTCCCTCAGAGTCCAGCCAAGGCCGTGCAGTATGTGCAGCACCTCCTCCTGCTTCAGGACGCTGAAGAGGCGGTCCAACAGGATCTTCAGCCTCACGGGCACTGCCTGCGTTCCATAGAGCATCAGGCTGCTGATGTCAAACACCACGTTGGACTGCACAATCTCCACTTGCGTGGGGTGGTACAGGTGCTGCGTGCTGAGCTTATCCAAGGCTGTGGTGGTCCCACCAAAGTTCCAGTGATGGAGGTGTTGGGAATAAAGAGAGAGAACAGGAGTTATAAACATTGCTGTAAATTACCAGGGCTCCATTTCTATAGATGAATGTTCGCCACAGGTGTTTAAGCAAGATCTTGCAAAGAAAATAGTTATCTGACACCTCCTTTCTGTTTTGTCCTTTTTCTTTCCTATTTTGTAATTTGATGTGTTTATAAATTGCAGGAAACAACAAATACAAAACACATTTAACTTCAAGATAAAGAGCCACTGAGGATGTTTTTAAATGACCGTGGCTCGTGCTAAAAACTTAATTAATTTGTTAACTGAACTATGGTTCGACTCAAGTTAATGATGGTGTCCTCTACCCCCTACCAAAAACAAAAGAATTCCTAACTCATGCCATACAGGGAGGGTCAATCCGTATCACTTTTATGAATAAGATTCACCCCTTATAATACCTGAATGGTTAAAGAAGAGGAAGGCGGTGTTCTTTAGACGATAGGAGTAAAAGACCTAATTTGGAGGGAATAAGGAAAGCTGACGTGTGTGTGTAGGGCTACTAATTTAACTCATGTCCTGTTAGCTATAGGGGTTTATCCAAAAACCTAGTTTTCCCAATTTCTCTCATTAGTCACTTGTTAGATAGCTTTTGTGTTCACTGGCATGTTTTCTGAAAGTTATTCAGGATAAAAAAGAAAGAAAATTAAAGTCATAATTTTATAAAGAAGTTACTTCATTAATAGCTCTAAGGGTATACATGAAAATGGAAACAAATGAGAAGCCAACATTTGGGAATTTCTGGTGTATTTCAGCTAACTGTATTATCTCAGTAGAAAAAGCTGAGGATGACCATTCTCAGAGTAAACACTTTGAATAAAACAAAAATTTCAACAATTGGTTATTTTTTTTCTCCTCAAATTTAAGAAGCACCATCTCTTCTCTAGAGATAAAAGCCAAAATAAGGTCATAAATTCTAGTCTCCATCCATATCTGAGTTACTGTACACCCTATTGCTGATAATGGAATTACATTTTGCCTCAGTTTCTCAAACAATAACATTGTCTTATCTGTAGGGCTTAAAGAGATGCTGCAAAGATTAGTGAGATAAGGAGCAAGAGGCACTCTAAACTCCTTAAGAGAACATAAAAGGCATTCAGAACTGTCAGAATTATACACATATGCCCACTGAGGAATTAAACAAGATGAACACATAAGTTTGAAGGATGGTCATCTAACCTCATGAGTCAGGCAAACGGGTATCAGCCAACATCTAGGCTCAAGTCATAACTACACCTAAGGCTTCCTCAAATTCTAAACGACTGTGTGGCCCTTCTCAGCTGCTTTTCCTTACACCTATCCCTAAAGGTATGGACTATACTACATGTGCATTCTCAGCAACTCCTATTTTACTACATTGGTATTACTGTATGATAATGGAGGAATTTAAAAGTACGTGCACACAGATTTTTTAGTATTTCACATGTATTTTTTCAGGGCTCCTCCTCCACTCTTATTTCCTCCTGACTTGTGGTCACTAGAGAGTTCATGTACTCTTGATAAATTGCTTTCTTACATCTACAGTGTAAAGGCCCTTATCATTTACCCGCTGGCTTCATTCAACACATTTACTCCCAGGAATACTTTGTCAAAGAGTTCGGGTTTTCTCATACTTCATTTCTTGCAGCTGATTTGTCTGATCTTTCCTATTCTAGTGGTTAAGTCAACTTTGAATAAATAGCCTTAAAAATTAATTTAACGTTTGGGAAAGATAAGGGATTCACAAGCCTAGGGATTGAAGTTTTCTCTCACTCCACAGGGCATTTAGGCTGCAAAAAAAGCAGAAATGGGGTATTACTATCCCTGTTCTTCTTCAAGTACAGCTTAACTACTCAGCCTTCTGATGAGTGGCTTCTCTGCTTACAGAATCCAGTGACCAAAACGGGGGGAATCTGCTTCTCCTCCATTTCCCTTCATCAGCTCTCCTCAACCATATAGGATCGTTCTTTACAAAACAGACTTCCATGACAACAGCCAATATGAAACTGACAGAAGTCAGTAGAAGGGAAATAAAATGACACAAAATCCTGATTTTTGTGTGTGTGCTTGGCACCGTGCATCTTTGCATTAAGTACATGCAGGTGTGTGTGTACAAATACATTCAAATGCGAGGTGAAAAAAACTATAATCACTCTCCCTCCCACTCATTAAAAAAGGCTGGTTGTTTTAAAGATGAAGAGGACTAAACTATTAAGGGTATAGAAGAAAAGAGAGGATCATCAGAGAATTAAAAGAGAACAGATAGAACAAAAACATTTCCCTAAATAAGCTTTCAAGAACACCAGAGACTGAGGATATTATAAGGACACTAGCAGATTCTTCTTCATAAGTATACTATATGTCAGTAAGTAGGAATACAGCTGGGCACATTGGCTCACATCTGTAATCCCAGCACTTTGGGAGGTAAGATGGCAGATTGCCTAAGCCAGAAGTTGAAGATCAGCCTGGGCAATGTGGTGAAACCCTCCTTCTACAGAAAAATGCAAAAATTAGCCGGGCATGGTGACACACACCTGGAGTCCCAGCAACTCGGGAGGCTGGGGTAGGAAGATCACCTGAGCCCAGGAGATCAAGGCTGCATTGAGTCATGATTGTATTACTGCACTTCCAGCCTGGGCGACAGAGTGGCCAAAAAACAGAAAAAAGAAGAAATACTGTTATAAACCATATAAATATACAACAAAGGTCAACAACTTAGTCTATAATGGCCAGATAGTAGATATTTTAGGTGTGTGGGTTATGCATCCTCTTTCACACCTACTCATACCTGCTGTTATAGCAGGAAAGCAGCCATACATAGATAGGACTTAAACGATTAGGTATGTCAGTGTTCCAATAAAACTTCATTCAGGTTTGTTGCAGTGGCTCACATCTGCAATCCCAGCACTTTGGGAGGTCAAGGCAGGAGAACTGCTTGAGCCCAGGAGTTTGAGATTAGCCTGCGCAACACAGTGAGACTCTGTCTCAACAAAAAAAATTTAAAAATTAGTCAGGCATGGAAGCGCATACTTGTAGTTCCAGCTACTTGGGAGGTTGACGTGGAAGGATTGCTTGAGCCCTGGAGATCAAGGCTACAGTGGAGCAATGATTGTGTCACTGCACTTCAGCCTGGGTAGAAGAGTAAGACACTGTCTCCAAAATCAAACAAACAAACTTTATTTACACAAACAGATACCTCACCAGCTTTGTTTGGGCCCTGATGATGATGAAAAGGTGGACCAGATATTTAATGGAAGTTAATAGTAGATCACAATAAAGCTCTAAGAGTGTGATATAGGAAGCAGTTACCTAGGTGATGAGCCATAGATGAAGACTTAAAAACTATTAAACTGGGCCAGGCGTGGTGGCTCACACCTGTAATCCCTGTAATCCCAGCACTTTGGGAGGCTGAGGCGGGCCGATCACTAAGTCAAGAGATTGAGACCATCCTGGCCAACATGGTAAACTTTAGTAGAGGTGGTGTATTTATGTTTCTACTTAAAATACAAAAATTAGCTGAGTCTGGTGGAGCGTGCCTGTAGTCCCAGCTACTCAGGAGGCTGAGGCAGGAGAAATGCTTGAACCCAGAAGGCAGAGGTTGCAGTGAACTGAGATGGCACCACTGCACTCCAGCCTGGCAACAGAGTGAAACTCC